GGTTTAATTATTCTGTCTTGAATACAAACTACACTTGAAAATTTGATCTGTTTCATAATGACAATCTTCCATAGAAAAAATTATATCATTTAACTGAAGTAACCAGAAAGGCATCCTTTTTAATCATGCACACACTCATTAAAACATAAATAGGTTCTGATACAATTAAGCTATACAATAAATACATAATAAAATGTTGTGTCATGAAAATAAATATAAATGACAAAAGACTGGGTATGTCATTTTAATTAGTATAACTAATACTTGAAATAACTTGCGTACAAATAGCACATTAGCTAAGAATCTAAGCCAAGCCACTAAATGATGTATAAAACAAATTGAATTAACAAATTTACAAGTGTCTAAAAAAAAGAAGGACCCTTATACATGCCTTCACTACTAATCAACTATAATAATGTCAAAGGACATATTATAGTCCTGTTATTGACATTTCACACCCAGTGAAGTTATTCTTAATGAAAAAGTTTCATTTCAGTTTGTCAAGTAAATACCAAACTATTGTGTTTAAGCTAATATATTTCTTTTTTTTTATATTGATTTGTTGAATTTGTGGAAATGTTTATTGTATTGATAAAAGAATTGATTTTATGTTTATATTATTGAAATTATTATAGAGATAAAAAATTGCCTCCCTTTGATGGGGGGTCATTATCACCAGCTTCTGTGATTGGCTGAAAGCAGCCTATCATGAGCCTCTTTTTCCTGTGCCACTGACAAGTCAACACAGACAAATTTAGCTCCATAAAACTCAAGCAACAGCCACATGGTGTCCAGAAATGGAGCATCCAAAAACACAGCATAGGAACGAGGGTATCCAAACAATTGCAGCAATGCATCTAAAAACTGAACCCCTCTTCGACCTAAACACAAAGATATTCTGATGTTGTAATAATAATGAGAAGAACTGATAATTGAACGACTTTTACACCCACCAGTGCATCCTTGCAAAAAAAAAACTGTTTTTTGCAATGATTTTTAAACCCATTTTTTCTATCTTCCCTTTTTCTGATATAAAGCCTTTTTTCCACTCAAGTTTAGTGTTGTCCTGTTTTCTCTTGCTGTGTTGTGTCAATGCTCTTTTAACCCTTATTTTCTACAGAGGATAAATTATTGGTCACAGAAATTCAAAGGGTACAAAATCCCTACAATATATCAAATGATGGATTGATAAAAGAATTGACTTTATGGTTATATAGCAAATATTGTATTAAAAAAAAAAGAACTGTATTTTCATGTTATGAACTGTCAACATGCAATGGAATACTGAATTGCATGTTTTCCTGTGTGTTGGGAGAATATAAAAAAAAATAGGTTATCTCCCTTTGGTTGATAAGATCTCCTGATAGGAAGATGAGTCCATTTATCTGATAATAGTAGGTAAGACCCAAATTTAGGCACCAAAGCTGAGAGGCTTCAAGATGAGGGAACTGAATAGATGTGTTTTAGCCTACTCCATGAAGAGGCGATGCTGGCTATGAAGAAACCTGAATAATGCAACGACAAGCAATCATCAGAAGATGAATAGGATCAGCATAAGCTGTTTCAATCAATTTCAACCAAATACATGTATTTGAATTTTGTCCCCAATGCCATGACATTAACTGCTAAAAGATTATGTTTTAGCAATTCTACCTATTCTATGGTAATGGACTCTCCCATAGACAATAAGTAGCAGTAGCGGTTGCCAGTTCGGCTCAGTGGTGTTGAGCGAGTCAGTCGATATCGGACATTCAAGTACCAACCATCACAACTAGATTTGCTGTGTCATTAACTCTTATTTTCAAGTTCCTAACGTTTTGTACGTCGAACCTAATTTAGGACGACTTATTGAAATACAAGCCTCCACTGTGAAAACTACTCCACAACAATAATGTATTTCTTATATAAATTATATGATGTAATGGAATAACTTGTCACCCCATGAGTGACTACACTATATGTATCTGTAAGTCTACAGAGTCTAGCCGAAATCTTTTTCGGCTTGCTGGTCAAACTCTCCGCCTCTGAGCAGATAGGAACCCGGACAAGGCTCTACCGAAGGGCAGAGTCTTGTTCAGGGAGGTTGACCAACCTGATCTTGTTTATGCAGATTCTACGGGGATTTTTTAGCCGTGTCTACGGGCTCGGATAATCTACATTAAACTCAACCTTGTGCCATATCTACCCTCATGCGGCAGGGCTAGTAAATACTTTCTAGCTGAAATATTTTCAGCTGGCTGGTTGAACTCTCTGAAGTGCAGAGTCTTGTCTGGGGTGGTAGACAGCTACCTGCCCCCATTTTTTATGGGGAGTATGGGGAATTTTTGCCCGAGCCTATGGGCTTGGATATCCCACATTAAATTTGGCCTTGTGCCACATCCAACTGCATGGGGTGGTTGGCAAATATTCTAGCTGGAATCTTTTCAGCTATACGGTTGAACTCTCTGCCTTTGGGCAGAGAAGAACCCAGATGAGTCTATGCCGAATGGTAGAGTCACATTCAGGGAAGTAGACCAACCCGATCCCATTTACGCGTGTTCTACGAGGAATTTTTGGCCAAGCCTAAGGGCTCAGATATCCCACGTTAAACTTGGCCATGTGCCACATCTACCCTCATGGAGGGGCTAGTAAATACCGACTAGCTGGAATCAAACTCTCTATCTCTGAGAAGAGAGGATCCCCAGAGGAGGCTATGCCGAAGGGCAGTGTCTCATTTCAGGAAACAGCTACCTGACTCTGTTTTATACGAGGTCACTGGGGAATTTTTGGCTGAGCTTATGGGCTTGGATATCCCACATTAAACTTGGCTCTGTGCCACATCTATCGCATGGGGAGGTTAGTAAATACACTAGCTGGGATCTGTTACTCGGCTCTTAGCTGTTGTAAAACTCTCTTCTTTTGGGCAGAAAGGAATCCGGATTAGGCTATGCCGAAGGGCAGAGTCTCATCTGGGGAGGTAAACAGACCCAAACCCATTTATGAGGGGTTTACGGGGAATTTTTGGCCAAGCCTATGGGCTTGGATTGCCACACATTAAATTCGGCCTTGTGCCACAACCTACCATGTGGGGAGGTTGACAAATGTTACGAGCTGGATCTGTTGAGTACAACTCAAACTACCGACCTTCCAATAGTAGCACTCACTACTGGATTGACTTGTGACGACCTTGTGCATAACTGTTACCTTTATTCTTATTGTACTGGTTTTTTACAATAAACCTGTACTTATTTTATCCATCTTGTTTTTCAAATATATATTCCTATTAGCACAGAACATAACAGTATACCTTTTAAACTGTTCAATTGTCTCATATTTGTTTATCTGCCACTACTTAGTTTGGGGAGTCACTAAATTTCCCACAAGCACAACACATTGTACTAAATTTCTTAGCAGCAGCCTCAGCAATGGATTCAATACAATCTTTCTCATGTCGACCAAGAATGTTAGAATTGATATTAAGTGTAGATTTTTTGTCAGATCTAAAACAACAACAACAAAAAAAACGTGTTTTCATTAAATTATGCAAACACACACCAACTGTCACAAAAATATTTTTTGAGTTTTATTCCATTATTTTGGTAAGATCTGGGAGAAATTTTCACTATGTTTACACCTGATAGTGCATAAAGTTTTTACTGAAATAACATCTTTAGGTATTTTTCTTTATATATCACTGTAAAAAGAATTTGACTATTCCCTCTCCAAATTAAAAAGTACACACGATATATCGGAAAGTGGAGATGAAACAGACATCCCAAAAATATTTCTAATAAAATAAACTATTAATTCAGCATAAAATTCATCCAATTCTAAATGAGTAGTGAAAATTCCGTTCGAATCGTACAATTCCCTGATTTTGGGGGAAATATTTTAAAAAAGGGGTGGTGATTTTTTGCTTTCATTTCGGAAAAAAAGGCACACATTATGGTGCTAATACACAGATGTGAGTGTGACACAAGGCCAAATGAATGGAGCATCCATTAGGACTCGAACTTACTACTCAGTCGTAATTAGCGAGACAAGCTCGCTTACCAATACACCACGTCGAAGTGAACATACATGGGCCAAAAGTTTTTTGTTGTCTAGAGTTGTCTCTCTTGCACTGACGACGTCAGGTAACAGCGTCTCTTTGTTATGATAATAATGGAAAGTGTTCTTAGGAAGAAGGGCTGCTTTTGTCAAATTTAAAGCTAGTAAGAGTAAAATATCTTTATTTTGTTATTTTTGACAGCAAGAATAAATGCAAAAAATTAAAGCACTAATTAAATGCGAAAATGATATCCCATGACCTCGGAGATCCCAACTGTCATGATTATTAACACGGGGCAATCGTGGTTCGTTAACGCAACGGTAGTATGGGCGAATAAAAAAAACACACACATTTTTCATCCTTTCCAATTTAAAATACTTCCAACATTCTACATCGCATCAAGTGAAAGTTATTACAAAAAACGAAATTTAATAAAATACCCCACCCAAAACACCAGCATGAAAACATCACGTGTGAACGCGTCAGAAATTTCTCCCTAAACCAGTTGTATTGTCAAGTTTTGAAAATTAATTAACGTACGCAATTTAAAAAGTATTTATTTTTGTTGTCGTTTAAATTAAATTTTGATGATTAATGTTTACACAATGTCTGTAAGAAATTTAATGGTCAATAAGTATAAGTAATAGCAGTGGATACTTAGTACACAATTCAATATGAAATAAATGAGTCTGAAAAATTGTTCAAGCACAAAAATCACTTTTATCCTTTTTGTCACTAATATTTTTTTCCTTTCTCGGAATCAAACTGATAATTATCAAAAAAATAAAGGAAAAATGCAAAATAGTATATGGAAAATCCCAGCAGAAAATTGTCATGCCTACGTATCATGTGATACAGAACTCAATTTTGAAATGAGGTCCTTCTAGATGTTTTATTCTCCTGTTACTCTACTGGAAAGGAGGCGAAGGAGATAAGGAGAATTAGCTTCGTCACGTGACTGGCGTATCACATGACCTATCTCATGACGTCACTAATACCTCCATTTTGGAATGCCAATTTTTATGTTGTATGCCAGCAACACGTCTTTTCTTCCTACAATGCTGATACCTGAATTCCGAGATCCTGTTAAATCGCTTTGATGAGAAAGGCAGATTTCCATTCAACACAGTAAGTAAACCAGAAGATTCATCTAAAACGCTAGAACCCCCTACATTTTGTCTCTCTGTGATAAAAATACACCTCTTTCTTGATCTCCTATGTTGGGACTCCACTTCGTGTATCTTCGGCAATTTCCGTGTAAATCAAACAAGATCTTCACTACAACTACTTTCAGCGACACACAGTTTGATTAGAGACAGAATACAGCTTCTTAGAAGCTTAATTTTTGTTTTACAATGAAACAAAACTATATTCCTGTCTCTGGTAATGTTGGGGTGAAAACAAAATGTATTTTTTATTCTTTTCGTTGTGTATTTTTTTTGTATCATAACGAAACAAAAATATGGTAGTTCAGTGAAATTGGGTAGTAGTGGCTTATCGTATCACCATTTGTGAGAAATCACTTTTTTCTCAAATAAAACCCTTTATGAATGAATGAATCAATCAATCACTTAGATCAATGAACATAAAGAAGACCTAATTTACACAGGTAAAAAGATTTATGAAGATTTGGACGACGACATTAGTTTTTAAAAAAATATAACATGACGATTACTCATCATAAGTCATATGAAAACAATGATGAAATTTTAATGTTTTAATTGTTTTGATTTCATTTTTTTTATTTAACTTTTTATTTATTAGGTTTTTAAAAATATTTTCGGGTTATGTGAGTTTTATATTTTCTAGGCTAAAATGCTACAAACATCGTATATGTCATAAACTCTGAAAAATTCATAGCGACACAAAACGTTTTCACTACTAAAAAGAAAACTCGTAATCTCTTGTCATTCATTCATTAATTGTTAGAAAAAAACAAAAAAAAAACAAACAAACAAAACCCCCCCAGCAAACTTAAGAAAAGTCGATCTATTTTGTTAGTGTCAGTTTATGTATAATAGTAGCAGTTGTAATACAAAATTTTAGTAATTAGTAGTAGTAGAAACCCTGCTACGTTGTAGTTGGTCTAGTTGATGACTAGACTAACCTGGGACATTTTTTTTTGTTTTTTTACTAATTCATTCATTCAACAGATGGTGATTACTACTGTAGTATTTTAATTGAAAATTGTCATTCATTCATTCATCATTGTCAGTCTTAATTATGATAAACAAATTAATTTTTCATCTGTTTAGGAATAAATAGGTTTCTTTTTAATTTTTAACATCTCCATATTGGCATGAAATTGATATTTTTTTTTTGTTGCAATAAAGGAACCGGACCGCCACGCATTTAGTTAGAAAACCTGATTGATTTTTTTTTTTTTTAAATCGTATTCTTGCCAAAGTAGTTTTTTGGCAGTTGTAATGTTATTAATTTAATTAAAATTATCTATCAAGTTTTTTTTTGTTTTTTTTTTAATAAATTTTAAAAAGTATAAGCCTATTGAATTTCTCAATAACTTTCTTTAAGTGGTTATTGTTTATTGGTTTTTTTTTTTTTCGTTATTTAATACTAATCTGCCGTTTAAGACGGTGAACGATGATGCTTCTTATTCTTAATGTTCGGAGTGTTATAGAAAACTTGATCATTTGAATATTTCAAAATTTTTGTTTGACACATTGCTTTCTTGAGTATTTTTTAATTCAGCTGGGATTATTAAGTTGGTCCACTCATAAAAAAAAAAAGGAAGTTTTTTTTAATTTTTTATTAAATCATTTTTAATTCAAATGTTTTAGAGCTAACATTTAGACTAGAGAGTAACCTTCCTCAGACCACGACACTTATCAGAATCGAAAAATATTGATTAGTTATCGATTTAGAAGTGGGGAAGAGGGCCCTTGTCCATCGTCTTTTTTGCGATATATTCCCCCCCCCCCCTTTTTTTTTTTTTTTTTAATAAAAATTCTAATTATTACTTTTGTTAAGCCCTTGTTGCCAGTGTCCTGGAAAGGCTTTTTCGTATCATGAGACAGATTTTCATTTAAAATAATTAATTTAATTTTATTTAAACAAGTTACCTCCCTGTTTCCAACTAAATAGAAAAAAAAATCCATTCTCTTACCTGAACGTTACATATTTGAAAGCGTAATTTAATGAAACTGTTTTTTTTTAAGTGTCTGTGTATACACACACATATAACATACATCATTAAAGTAAATGTAAATTTGATTTTAAAATGGCATTGAAATGACTTCCTACCTCTAAAATTTCAACATAAAAAAGTAAAACGTTTACAACTTTACATGTTGGGAGAATCAGTTTTTTTTACTTTTATAATTTCCGTATGCTAATTAATACATAAACACGCTGAAAATTAAACAAGTCTCAACTAAAAAAAACATATGTTAGTTTTATTAATTAATCATATATTCTCACAAAAAAGATCTTCATATGAGAATTGCTATATGGCAAACTAAAAAAAATGTCATTGATCTAACTTCTTTTTTATAAAAGGTCAGTTTCTTTTGAAATGCCTGTGAGTTCAGTAATTTCATATTTCAAAGGAAAATACTGTTATTTTCTTTGGTTTTAATTTTTACAGTTAAACTTGCAATATTTTTTTAATTTTATCGAGAATGTGTGAAATTTGTCATTTGGGTATTCAATGATTCATTTAAGTTTCGATTTTGTTTCAAGATATTTGATTTCATTTTCTTTAAGTTTGAGGAAGTCCTAAAAAATGTCACACGAAAACTTTTTTCACTTTATCATAGTATTTTTCCTTAAAATATGAGGATATATAATGATATGCAAAAACATTAACTCACAGTTTTACTTACATTCTTTTGGTTTTTCCACATAATACAGATATTTGTATTTACATAGGACTTGTTGAGTAAGAAGTGAAAGTGGATGCCTATTCGCATTCCGTGTGATCTACAAGCCGTAGAAGTAGTTAAGTAAACTAAACTATGTAAAACCTGCATAAATTTGCCAAGTGAAAGTGTTTTACGCAGTTTAACACTAAGTTACTTAGCTGTTATTTAAAAATATCAAATTTGAAACAATACAAAACTAAAAATCCCAGAATTTCTTTCTTTATATCGTCTTCTCTGATGATTTAAGTACCTCCACCACGAAAACGCTAAAAAAATTAGACCGTAAATAAATAAAGAAAAGTTTTATCTTTAAAAGTTTAAAAAGTTATGTTATTGTTAAGGCTAAAAGGAAGAATCAAAGTATTATTTGAATATTTAATTAGACTATTTACTCCTTTTTAGAACATTCGAAATTTTGATAAAAAAAACCCCAAAAAAACAACTTGTTTTTCTTGCGTCAGCGGTTGAACTAACTTAGCATAGCAAGTTTTTTTTAGCCTTTTTTTACGGTGACAGCCACATTAATTTGAAAATTCTTGCAAAAATCAAATAATTGTCGGATTTTAATGAAATTTTTAGGACTTATTCACAAATGAATGAAATTATTTTGGAATTTTTTTTTATTACAAAATCTTAGTAAAAAGTTTTTTTTTTGTTTTTTTTTTACATGTGTTTTCACATGTATTACTTAATTTTATGAAAACTTTAGAGATCATTTTGATTTGAGTGACTGTATTAGTTAAAAGTAAAATTCTTTGAAGAATTTAAATCACCAAATTGTTTTTTGCAAAATGGAACCCCATCTTACCGAAAATCTGTTCTGAATCGAAAAATAAAAGCAATAAAACTAAGACATTGTTTAGAGAGGTTTTTAATTTCTTTTATGAATAATATAAAAGACAATATTGTTTGAAGAAAAAAAAATTCAATGAAAAATGAATTTTTGCAAGATTTGTTTTTATTTCTTTACAATTTTAAATTGAATAATTTATAAGGTTTTTAAATCTTTTAAAATTCATTTTCGATATGATAATTCTTGGGAAGTAAAACTATATTTACTATTCGTATATTGTGAAACTTATTACAATATGATGCCCTGAATATTTTTTAAAGAATTTCAATTTGTTTTTGTATGTGTGATATGCATGCAGAATTTCTGAAGTATGGATATACAAACTGATAAATCTATCATTAAAACGTCATGTGTTTTAAGGGTTGTCCCCTCCTCCATGAAGTTTATCTGCTCCACTATACTTAACTATGAACACATTCAGCTGTCAATAAATTGATTAACATGTCAGAAAAACAAGACCCTGTAGTTAGGAAATGTTTCTATACAACATATTTGTTTCAAATCAGATTAATTTAACTTAAAATTTACTAATTTTCCTCAAATGATGTTTCAGAAATATTTTATTTCTGCAAGATTTTTAAAACTGAGAATTAACTTTTGTTTACAAATGTGTCAAAATGGCTGATTTTTATTGATGTTACTGAAAAAAAAAACATTCTGATGAATATAATTTCTGTTTGAATACACTACAGAGTATTTTTCTTACTGAAAATAGTAAATTTTAAATCCTTTAGCTTTCAATTAAAGCTAAAATGAAAGCTTCAAGAAAGCTTTTTCATTTTTAAAAATTCAGTTTAAACCTTGCATATACTGAATTATTGGCCTTACCTATTTAAAACTAAAAATGAAACATAAACATTTCCTATTTGTTCTTATCTTATCATTTTTATCACTTTAAAAATGTTATTTTTAGTGTATACTCATAGTCATAGTTGAGTAGATGCTCTGTTGATTTATTAAAATAATACTATATTTATAAAAGTAATATTTAAAATAATATTTTTGTCTACAGGCCCGAATATTCAAGAAATCTTATTAAAGAAAAATATGCACTCTTCAGCAGGATTTGAACTTGCATCCCTCTGAGTGGAGGGAACTATCATTAGATATGATGTCCCTTAACCAATTCAGACATGAAGATGCTTTGTTGATTAAGCAAGTTCTGAACAATGTCTTTAAATTAACCTCCACAGTTTCCCTAAAAAGAGCATATCATGATGAAAAAAGAACCCAAATTTGATAAAACAAATCTTTATCATTAAAATACTTTCAATTATTAAGAGGAAATACCAAAGTATTTTATTTTTTTAATCCTTTTTAGCACATTTGAAATTTTGGTTAAAATCTAATTTTTTTTATTTTGCATCAGTTCTGCCTCAAAAATTACTATGGAT